CACAGACTCACGCACAGACTCACCACTCACTCACAGACTCACTCACAGACTCACTCACAGACTCACTCACAGACTCACCCACAGACTCACCCACAGACTCACTCACAGACTCACAGACTCACCCACAGACTCACTCACAGACTCACAGACTCACTCACAGACTTAGAGACTCACTCACAGACTCACAGACTCACTCATAGACTCACAGACTCACCCACAGACTCACAGACTCGCTCACAGACTCACAGACTCACTCACAGACTCACCCACAGACTCACAGACTCATAGACTCGCTCACAGACTCGCTCACAGACTCGCTCACAGACTCACTCACAGACTGACAGACTCACTCACAGACTCACTCACAGACTCACTCACAGACTCACCCACAGACTCACTGACAGACTCAGACTCACCACTCACTCACAGACTCACAGACTCACCCACTGACTCACAGACTCACTCACAGACTCACTCACAGACTCACCCACAGACTCAGACTCACCACTCACTCACAGACTCACAGATTCACTCACAGACTCACTCACATACACACCCACAGACTCACCGCTCACTCACAGACTCACCACTCACTCACAGACTCACTCACAGACTCACAGACTCACTCACAGACTCACCCACAGACTCACCACTCAGTCACAGACTCACAGACTCACTCACAGACTCACTCCTCACTCACAGACTCACTCACAGACTCACTCAGACTCACAGACTAGCTCACAAACTCACCCACAGACTCACAACTCACTCACAGACTCACTCACCACTCACTCACAGACTCACTCACCACTCACCCACAGACTCACCCACAGACTCACTCACAGACTCACAGACTCGCTCACAGACTCACAGACTCGCTCACAGACTCACAGACTCACTCACAGATTCACTCACAGACTCACTCACAGACTCACCTCTCACTCACAGACTCACTCACAGACTCACCACTCACTCACAGACTCACTCACAGACTCACTCACAGACTCACTCACAGACTCACAGTCTCACCCACAGACTCACCCACAGACTCACAGACTCACTCACAGACTCACTCACAGACTCATCCACAGACTCATAGACTCACCACTCACTCACAGACTCACCCACAGACTCACAGACTCACTCACAGACTCACTCACAGACTCACCACTCACTCACAGACTCACGCACAGACTCACCACTCACTCACAGACTCACTCACAGACTCACTCACAGACTCACCCACAGACTCACCCACAGACTCACTCACAGACTCACAGACTCACCCACAGACTCACTCACAGACTCACAGACTCACTCACAGACTTAGAGACTCACTCACAGACTCACAGACTCACTCATAGACTCACAGACTCACCCACAGACTCACAGACTCGCTCACAGACTCACAGACTCACTCACAGACTCACCCACAGACTCACAGACTCATAGACTCGCTCACAGACTCGCTCACAGACTCGCTCACAGACTCACTCACATACTGACAGACTCACTCACAGACTCACTCACAGACTCACTCACAGACTCACTCACAGACTCACCCACAGACTCACTGACAGACTCAGACTCACCACTCACTCACAGACTCACAGACTCACCCACTGACTCACAGACTCACTCACAGACTCACTCACAGACTCACCCACAGACTCAGACTCACCACTCACTCACAGACTCACAGATTCACTCACAGACTCACTCACATACACACCCACAGACTCACCGCTCACTCACAGACTCACCACTCACTCACAGACTCACTCACAGACTCACAGACTCACTCACAGACTCACCCACAGACTCACCACTCAGTCACAGACTCACTCACAGACTCACTCCTCACTCACAGACTCACTCACAGACTCACTCAGACTCACAGACTAGCTCACAGACTCACCCACAGACTCACAACTCACTCACAGACTCACAGACTCACTCACAGACTCACCCACAGACTCACCACTCAGTCACAGACTCACAGACTCACTCACAGACTCACTCCTCACTCACAGACTCACTCACAGACTCACTCAGACTCACAGACTAGCTCACAGACTCACCCACAGACTCACAACTCACTCACAGACTCACTCACAGACTCACTCACAGACTCACTCACAGACTCACCCACAGACTCACTCACAGACTCACTCACAGACTCACCCACAGACTCACCCACAGACTCATAGACTCATCACTCACTCACAGACTCACCACTCACACAGACTCACCCACAGACTCACTCACGGACTCACTCACAGACTCACCCACAGACTCACCACTCACTCACAGACTCACCCACAGACTCACAACTCACTCACAGACTCACTCACAGACTCACTCACAGACTCACTCACAGACTCACTCACAGACTCACCCACAGACTCACTCACAGACTCACCACTCACTCACCACTCACTCACAGACTCACTCACAGACTCACTCACAGACTCACTCACAGACTCACTCAGACTCACCCACAGACTCACCCACAGACTCACCCACAGACTCACTCACAGACTCACTCACAGACTCACTCACAGACTCACACAGACTCAATCACAGACTCACCCACAGACTCATAGACTCATCACTCACTCACAGACTCACCACTCACTCACAGACTCACCCACAGACTCACAGACTCACTCACGGACTCACTCACAGACTCACCCACAGACTCATCGACTCACCACTCACTCACAGACTCACCCACAGACTCACAGACTCACTCACAGACTCACTCACAGACTCACTCACAGACTCACTCACAGACTCACCACTCAGTCACAAACTCACAGACTCACTCACAGACTCACTCACACTCACTCCTCACTCACAGACTCACAGACTCACTCAGACTCACAGACTCGCTCACAGACTCACCCACAGACTCACCACTCACTCACAGACTCACTCACAGACTCACAGACTCACTCACCACTCACTCACAGACTCACTCACAGACTCACTCGCAGACTCACTCGCAGACTCACAGACTCACTCACAGACTCACTCACAGACTCACTCACAGACTCGCCACTCACAGACTCACTCACAGACTCATTCACAGACTCACTCACAGACTCACCCACAGACTCACCACTCACTCACAGACTCACTCACAGACTCACTCACAGAAACACAGACTCACTCACAGACTCAGTCACAGACTCACAGACTCACTCAGACTCACTCAGACTCACAGACTCACCCACAGACTCAGCACTCACTCACAGACTCACTCACAGACTCACTCACCACTCACTCACAGACTCACTCACAGACTCACTCACAGACTCACAGACTCACTAACAGACTCATAGACTCACCACTCACTCACAGACTCACTCACAGACTCACAGACTCACTCACAGACTCACCACTCACCACTCACAGACTCACCAGTCACAGACTTACTCACAGACTCACTCACAGACTCACTCACAGACACACCCACAGACTCACCACTCACTCACAGACTCACTCACAGACTCACTCACAGACTCACCACTCACTCACAGACTCACTCACAGACTCACTCACAGACTCACCACTCACCCACAGGCCCATACACTCACCACTGCACAGAGACCCATAGACTCACCACCACCACACAGAGACCCATAGACTCCCCACCACACAGAGACCCATAGACTCACCACCACTACACAGAGACCCATAGACTCACCACTACACAGAGACCCATAGACTCACCACTACACAGAGACCCATAGACTCACCACCACCACACAGAGACCCATAGACTCACCACTACACAGAGACCCATAGACTCAGCACTACACAGACACCCATAGACTCAGCACTACACAGAGACCCATAGACTCACCACTACACAGAGACCCATAGACTCACCACCACTACACAGAGACCCATAGACTCACCACCACTACACAGTGACCCATAGACTCACCACCACTACACAGAGACCCATAGACTCACCACCACTACACAGAGACCCATAGACTCACCACTACACAGAGACCCATATACTCACTACCACCACACAGAGACCCATAGACTCACCACTACACAGCGACCCATAGACTCACCACTACACACAGAGACCCATAGACTCACCACTACACTAAGACCCATAGACTCACCACCACTACACAGAGACCCATAGACTCACCACCACCACACAGACACCCATAGACTCACCACCACACAGAGACCCATAGACTCACCACTACACAGAGACCCATAGACTCACCACCACTACACAGAGACCCATAGACTCATCACTACACAGAGACCCATAGACTCACCACCACTACACAGAGACACATAGACTCACCACCACACAGAGACCCATAGACTCACCACCACTACACAGAGACCCATAGACTCACCACCACTACACAGAGACCCGTAGACTCACCACTACACAGAGACCCATAGACTCACCACCACACAGAGACCCATAGACTCACCACCACTACACAGAGACCCATAGACTCACCACCACACAGAGACCCATAGACTCACCACCACTACACAGAGACCCATAGACTCACCACTACACAGAGACCCATAGACTCACTACTACACAGAGACCCATAGACTCACCACCACACAGAGACCCATAGACTCACCATCACTACACAGAGACCCATAGACTCACCACCACACAGAGACCCATAGACTCACCATCACTACACAGAGACCCATAGACTCACCACTACACAGTGATCCATAGACTCGCCACCACTACACAGAGACCCATAGACTCACCACTACACAGAGACCCATAGACTCACCACCACCACACAGAGACCCATAGACTCACCACTACACAGTGATCCATAGACTCGCCACCACTACACAGAGACCCATAGACTCACCACTACACAGAGACCCACAGACTCACCACCACACATCTCCTATAGCCACGACCTCCTGTGTACCTGGAGAGGTAGTCAACATTTCCCTCTGTTGTCTGGTTTTCTCCACAGCCAGTCAAGATCTGTGTCTCCCTCTCTGCCCTGCTGTGTCAGGCCTCGTCATGTCCTTCATATTTGACTTGATTTCCTCTGGATTCAGTAGCGTCCTACAATTTCTGGGTGAGTGAGTGGGTGGGTGAGGTGAGTGGGTGAGGTGAGTGGGTGGGTGAGTGGGTGCGTGAGTGAGTGGGTGCGTGAGTGAGTGAGTCGGTGAGTGAGTGAGTGAGTGGGTGAGTGGGTGGGTAAGTGAGTGGGTGAGTGAGTGGGTGGGTGAGTGAGTGGGTGGGTGAGTGAGTGGGTGGGTGAGTGAGTGGGTGGGTGAGTGGGTGGGTGAGTGAGTGGGTGGGTGAGTGGGTGGGTGAGTGGGTGGGTGGGTGAGTGAGTGGGTGAGTGGGTGGGTGAGTGGGTGGGTGAGTGGGTGGGTGAGTGGGTGGGTGAGTGGGTCGGTGAGTGGGTGGGTGAGTGAGTGGGTGGGTGGGTGAGTGAGTGAGTGGGTGGGTGCGTGGGTGAGTGAGAGGGTGATTGGGTGGGTGGGTGGGTGAGTGGATGGGTGGGTGGGTGAGTGGGTGAGTGGGTGGGTGAGTGGGTGGGTGGGTGGGTGAGTGGGTGGGTGGGTGGGTGAGTGGGTGGGTGGGTGGGTGAGTGGGTGGGTGGGTGAGTGGGTGGGTGGGTGGGTGAGTGGGTGGGTGGGTGGGTGAGTGGGTGGGTGGGTGGGTGAGTGGGTGAGTGGGTGGGTGGGTGGGTGGGTGGGTGATTGGGTGGGTGAGTGGGTGATTGGGTGGGTGAGTGGGTGATTGGGTGGGTGAGTGGGTGGGTGAGTGAGTGGGTGGGTGGGTGGGTGAGTGGGTGGGTGGGTGGGTGATTGGGTGGGTGGGTGATTGGGTGGGTGGGTGATTGGGTGGGTGGGTGATTGGGTGGGTGAGTGAGTGATTGGGTGGGTGAGTGAGTGGGTGTGTGGGTGAGTGAGTGAGTGGGTGGGTGAGTGGGTGGGTGAGTGGGTGGGTGAGTGGGTGGGTGAGTGGGTGGGTGGGAGAGTGAGTGGGTGAGTGAGTGGGTGAGTAAATGGGTGAGTGGGTGGGTCGGTGAGTGGGTGAGTGGGTAGGTGGGTGAATGAGTTGGTGGGTGGGTGAGTGAGTGAGTCGGTATGTGTCCGTGTGTGTGTCTGTGTTTGTGTCTGTGTGTGTGTGACTGTGTGTGTGTGACTGTGTCACTGTGTGTGTGTCTCACTGTGTGTGTGAAGGTCTGTATAAGAAGTCTGGTAAGTTGGTGTTTCTGGGTCTGGACAATGCTGGGAAGACGACACTTCTTCACATGCTGAAGGACGACCGCCTGGGCCAGCATGTACCCACACTCCACCCTAGTGAGTCACCCACTCAGTCACTCACCCACTCACTCAGTCACCCACTCAGTCACCCACTCAGTCACCCACTCATTCACTCACCCACTCAGTCACCCACTCAGTCACTCACTCACACACTCAATCACTCAGTCACCCACTCAGTCACCCACTCAGTCACCCACTCAGTCACCCACTCAGTCACTCACTCACACACTCAATCACTCAGTCACCCACTCAGTCACCCACTCAGTCACCCACTCAGTCACCCACTCAGTCACTCACTCACCCACTCACCCCTTTCACCACTCATTCACTCACCCACTCAGTCACCCACTCACTCAGTCACTCAGTCACTCACCACTCACCCACTCACTCACTCAGTCACCCAGTCACCCACTCAGTCACCCACACACTCACCCACGCACTCACCCACTCACTCAGTCACTCACTCACTCACTCAGTCACTCACTCAGTCACTCACTCACTCAGTCACCCACTCACACACCCACACACTCAGTCACTCAGTCACTCACTCAGTCACTCAGTCACTCACTCAGTCACTCACCCACTCACTCAGTCACTCACTCAGTCACTCACCCACCCACTCCCTCAGTCACTCAGTCACTCAGTCACTCACTCACTCAGTCACTCAGTCACTCACCCACTCACTCAGTCACTCACTCAGTCACTCACTCACTCACTCACCCACTCACTCAGTCACTCACTCACCCACTCACTCAGTCACTCAGTCACTCACTCACTCAGTCACTCAGTCACTCACTCACCCACACACTCACTCACTCAGTCACTCAGTCACTCACTCACTCACCCACTCACTCAGTCACTCACCCACACACTCACTCACTCAGTCACTAAGTCACTCAGTCACCCAGTCACCCAGTCACTCACCCACTCACTCACACACTCACTCACACACTCAGTCACTCACTCACCACAGTCACACACACTCACTCACTCACCCACCCACTCACTCACTCACTCACTATTCACCCACTCACCCACTCACCCACTCACTCAGTCACTCACTCAGTCACTCAGTCACTCACCCACTCACTCACCCACACACTCATTCACTCACCCACACACTCACTCACCACTCACTCACTCAGTCACTCACCCACTCACTCACCCACACACTCACTCACTCAACCACCAACCCACTCACTCACTCACCCACCCACTCACCCACTCACTCACCCACTCACTCACTCACCCACTCACCCACTCACTCACCCACTCACTCACTCAGTCACTCAGTCACCACTCACTCAGTCACTCACCCACTTACTCACCCACTCACTCACCCACTCACTCACTCAACCACCCACCCACTCACTCAGTCACTCACTCACCCACTCACTCACCCACTCACTCACTCAACCACCCACCCACTCACTCAGTCACTCACTCACCCACTCACTCACTCACCCACTCACCCCTTTCACCACTCACTCACCCACCCACTCACTCACTCACTCACCCACTCTCTCACTCACTCACCCACTCTCTCACCCACTCTCTCACCCACTCACCCACTCACCCACTCACTCACCCACTCACCCACTCATTCACTCACTCTCTCACTCACTCACCCACTCACCCACTCTCTCACTCACTCACCCACTCACCCACTAACTCACTCACCCACCCACCCCTTTCACCACTCATTCACTCACCCACTCTCTCACTCACCCACTCACTCACTCACTCACCCGCTCACTCACCCACTCACCCCTGTCACCACTCACTCACCCACCCACCCACTCACTCACTCACTCACCCACTCTCTCACTCACTCACCCACTCTCTCACCCACTCACCCACTCACTCACCCACTCACCCACTCATTCACTCACTCTCTCACTCACTCACCCACTCACCCACTAACTCACCCACTCATTCATCCACTCACCCACTCACCCACTAACTCACTCACCCACCCACCCCTTTCACCACTCATTCACTCACCCACTCTCTCACTCACCCACTCACTCACCCGCTCACTCACCCACTCACCCCTGTCACCACTCACTCACCCACCCACTCACTCACTCACCCACTCTCTCACTCACTCACCCACTCTCTCACCCACTCTCTCACCCACTCACCCACTCACTCACCCACTCACCCACTCATTCACTCACTCTCTCACTCACTCACCCACTCACCCACTAACTCACCCACTCATTCACCCACTCACCCACTCACCCACTAACTCACTCACCCACCCACCCCTTTCACCACTCATTCACTCACCCACTCTCTCACTCACTCACCCACTCTCTCACCCACTCACCCACTCACTCGCCCACTCACCCACTCACCCACTCACTCACCCACTCACTCACTCACCCACCCACTCACTCACTCACCCACTCACTCACTCACCCACCCACTCACTCACTCACCCACTCACTCACTCACCCACCCACCCCTTTCACCACTAATTCACTCACCCACTCTCTCACCCTCCACCGTTTTCCAACCCCACAGCTTCTGAGGAGTTGACTATTGCCGGGATGACGTTCACGACCTTTGACCTGGGCGGACATGCACAAGGTGAGTTGGTGGCTAGTTGAGATGTTGACTACCTCACCAGGTACTCAGGAGGTCACGGGTTCCATCCACAAGATCTATCTCTGTATGTGTGTGTCTGTGTGTCTATCTGTGTATGTGTGTGTCTGTGTGTGTCTGTGTGTGTGTGTGTCTGTGTGTATCTCTGTGTGTGTCTAACTGTGTGTGTGTCTATCTGCGTGTATCTGTGTGTCTAACTGTGTGTGTGTGTCTATCTGTGTGTCTAACTGTGTGTGTCTAACTGTCTGTGTGTGAGTAGCTCGCCGTGTCTGGAGGAACTACCTCCCGACCATCAACGCTGTCGTGTTCCTGGTGGACTGTGTCTGTGTGTGTGTGTGTCTAACTGTGTGTGTCTCTGTGTGTGTGTGTGTGTGTCTATGTGTGTGTGTGTCTCTGTGTGTGTGTGTGTGTCTCTGTGTGTGTGTGTGTGTCTCTGTGTGTGTGTGTCTAACTGTGTGTGTGTCTTTGTGTGTGTGTGTCTAACTGTGTGTGTGTCTTTGTGTGTGTGTGTCGAACTGTGTATGTGTGTGTCTCTGTGTGTCTGTCTGTGTGTGTCTGTGTGTCTGTGTGTGTCTGTGTGTGTGTGTCTGTGTGTGTGTGTGTCTCTGTGTGTGTGTGTGTCTGTGTGTCTGTGTGTGTGTGTCTGTGTGTGTCTGTGTGTGTGTGTCTGTGTGTGTGTGTGTGTGTCTCTGTGTGTGTGTGTGTGTCTCTGTGTGTCTAACTGTGTGTGTGTCTATCTGTGTGTGTGTCTAACTGTGTGAGTAGCTCGCCGTGTCTGGAGGAACTATCTCCCGGCCATCAACGCTGTCGTGTTCCTGGTGGACTGTGTCTGTGTGTGTGTGTGTCTAACTGTGTGTGTCTGTGTGTGTCTAACTGTGTGTGTGTCTAACTGTGTGTGTGTGTCTCTGTGGGTGTCTATCTGTGTGTGTCTAACTGTGTGTGTGTCTAACTGTGTCTGTGTGTCTAACTGTGTGTGTGTCTGTGTGTGTCTGTGTGTGTCTAACTGTGTGTGTGTCTAACTGTGTGTGTGTGTCTAACTGTGTGTGTGTGTCTAACTGTGTGTGTCTAACTGTGTGTGTGTCTGTGTGTGTCTAACTGTGTGTTTAACTGTGTGTGTGTGTCTGTGTGTCTGTGTGTGTCACTGTGTGTGTGTCTAACTGTGTGTGTGTGTCTAACTGTGTGTGTCTAACTGTGTGTGTGTGTGTCTGTGTGTGTGTGTCTAACTGTGTGTGTGTGTCTGTGTCTAACTGTGTGTGTGTGTCTGTGTGTGTGTCTATCTGTGTGTGTGTATATCTGTGTGTCTATCTGTGTGTGTGTCTAACTGTGTGAGTAGCTCGCCGTGTCTGGAGGAACTACCTCCCGGCCATCAACGCTGTCGTGTTCCTGGTGGACTGTGTCTGTGTGTGTGTCTAATTGTCTGTGTGTGTGTCTCTATGTGTGTGTGTGTCTCTGTGTGTGTGTATCTCTGTGTGTGTCTATCTCTGTGTGTGTCTAACTGTGTGTGTGTCTAACTGTGTGTGTCTAACTGTGTGTGTGTGTCTAACTGTGTGTGTGTGTCTAACTGTGTGTGTGTGTCTAACTGTGTGTGTCTCTGTGTGTGTGTGTGTGTCTCTGTGTGTGTCTGTGTGTGTGTGTCTCTGTGTGTGTGTGTCTAACTGTGTGTGTGTGTGTCTATCTGCGTGTCTCTCTGTGTGTGTGAGTAGCTCGCCGTGTCTGGAGGAACTATCTCCCGGCCATCAACGCTGTCGTGTTCCTGGTGGACTGTGTCTGTGTGTGTGTCTAACTGTCTGTGTGTGTCTGTGTGTGTGTCTGTGTGTGTGTGTCTGTGTGTGTCTATCTGTGTGTCTAACTGTGTGTGTGTCTAACTGTGTGTGTTTCTAACTGTGTGTGTGTCACTGTGTGTGTGTGTCTGTGTGTGTGTCTAACTGTGTGTGTGTCTATCTGTGTGTCTCTCTGTGTGTGTCTATCTGTGTGTCTATCTGTGTGTCTAACTGTGTGTGTCTATCTGTGTGTGTGTCTCTGTGTGTGTGAGTAGCTCGCCGTGTCTGGAGGAACTATCTCCCGGCCATCAACGCTGTCGTGTTCCTGGTGGACTGTGTCTGTGTGTGTGTCTAACTGTGTGTGTGTCTAACTGTGTGTGTGTGTGTCTCTGTGTGTCTGTGTGTGTGTGTCTAACTGTGTGTGTGTGTCTGTGTGTGTGTGTGTGTGTCTGTGTGTGTGTGTATAACTGTGTGTGTGTGTTTGTGTGTATAACTGTGTGTCTAACTGTATGTGTGTCTATCTGTGTGTGTCTCTGTGTGAGTAGCTCGCCGTGTCTGGAGGAACTATCTCCCGGCCATCAACGCTGTCGTGTTCCTGGTGGACTGTGTCTGTGTGTGTGTGTCTGTGTGTGTGTCTAACTGTGTGTGTGTGTCTATCTGTGTGTCTCTCTGTGTGTGTCTATCTGTGTGTCTATCTGTGTGTCTAACTGTGTGTGTCTAACTGTGTGTGTCTAACTGTGTGAGTAGCTCGCCGTGTCTGGAGGAACTATCTCCCGGCCATCAACGCTGTCGTGTTCCTGGTGGACTGTGTCTGTGTGTGTGTCTAACTGTGTGTGTGTCTAACTGTGTGTGTGTGTGTCTCTGTGTGTCTGTGTGTGTGTGTCTAACTGTGTGTGTGTGTCTGTGTGTGTGTGTGTGTGTCTGTGTGTGTGTGTATAACTGTGTGTGTGTGTTTGTGTGTATAACTGTGTGTCTAACTGTATGTGTGTCTATCTGTGTGTGTCTCTGTGTGAGTAGCTCGCCGTGTCTGGAGGAACTATCTCCCGGCCATCAACGCTGTCGTGTTCCTGGTGGACTGTGTCTGTGTGTGTGTGTCTGTGTGTGTGTCTAACTGTGTGTGTGTGTCTATCTGTGTGTCTCTCTGTGTGTGTCTATCTGTGTGTCTATCTGTGTGTCTAACTGTGTGTGTCTAACTGTGTGTGTCTAACTGTGTGAGTAGCTCGCCGTGTCTGGAGGAACTATCTCCCGGCCATCAACGCTGTCGTGTTCCTGGTGGACTGTGTCTGTGTGTGTGTCTAACTGTGTGTGTGTCTAACTGTGTGTGTGTGTGTGTCTCTGTGTGTCTGTGTGTGTGTGTCTAACTGTGTGTGTGTGTCTGTGTGTGTGTGTGTGTGTCTGTGTGTGTGTGTATAACTGTGTGTGTGTGTTTGTGTGTATAACTGTGTGTCTAACTGTATGTGTGTCTATCTGTGTGTGTCTCTGTGTGAGTAGCTCGCCGTGTCTGGAGGAACTATCTCCCGGCCATCAACGCTGTCGTGTTCCTGGTGGACTGTGCGGACCTCTCACGCCTCCACGAAAGTCGTGACGAGTTAGCGGTCAGTCACTCAATTAGTCACTCAGTCACTCACTCAGTCACTCACTCAGTCAGTCACTCAGTCACTCACTCAGTCACTCAGTCAGTCACTCAGTCAGTCACTCAGTCACTCACTCAGTCACTCAGTCAGTCACTCAGTCACTCACTCAGTCACTCACTCAGTCAGTCACTCAGTCACTCAGTCAGTCACTTAGTCACCCACTCAGTCAGTCACTCAGTCAGTCACTCAGTCACTCAGTCAGTCACTCAGTCAGTCACTCAGTCAGTCACTTAGTCACCCACTCAGTCACTCAGTCACTCAGTCACTCACTCAGTCACTCAGTCAGTCACTCAGTCACTCAATCACTCACTCAGTCACTCACTCAGTCACTCAGTCGGTCACTCAGTCACTCAATCACTCACTCAGTCACTCACTCAGTCACTCAGTCGGTCACTCAGTCAGTCACTCAGTCAGTCACTCAGTCACTCAGTCAGTCACTCAGTCAGTCACTCAGTCAGTCACTCACTCAGTCACTCAGTCAGTCACTCACTCAGTCACTCACTCAGTCACTCACTCACTCACACACTCAGTCACTCACTCAGTCACTCAGTCAGTCACTCAGTCACTCACTCACTTAGTCACCCACTCAGTCACTCAGTCACTCACTCAGTCACTTAGTCAGTCACTCAGTCAGTCACTCACTCAGTCACTCACTTAGTCAGTCACTCACTCGGTCACTCAGTCAGTCAGTCACTCGCTCAGTTACTCACTCAGTCACTCAGTCAGTCACTCACTCAGTCACTCAGTCACTCACCCACTCACTCACCCGCTCACCCACTCGCTCAGTCACTCGCTCAGTCACTCGCTCAGTCACTCACTAAATAACTCAGTCAGTCACTCAGTCACTCAGTCACTCACTCAGTCACTCAGTCAGTCACTCAGTCAGTCACTCAGTCAGTCACTCAGTCACTCAGCCAGTCACTCAGTCACTCGCTCAGTCACTCACTCAGTCACTCACTCAGTCACTCAGTCACTCACTCAGTCACTCACTCAGTCACTCAGTCACTCACTCAGTCACTCAGTCAGTCACTCAGTCAGGCACTCACTCAGTCACTCACTCAGTCACCCACTCACTCACTCAGTCACTCAGTCGCTCATTCAGTCACTCACTCACTCAGTCACTCAGTCAGTCAGTCACTCAGTCAGTCACTCAGTCACTCACTCAGTCACTCACTCATTCACTCAGTCACTCACTCAGTCACTCGCTCAGTCACTCACTCAGTCACTCCGTCACTCAGTCACTCAGTTACTCACTCAGTTACTCACTCAGTCACTCACTCACTCAGCCACTCACTCAGCCACTCACTCAGCCACTCACTCAGTCAGTCACAGTCACTCAGCCAGTCACAACCTCAGTCACTCACTCAGTCACTCACTCACTCAGTCACTCACTGAATCACTCACTCAGTCAGTCACTCAGTCACTCACTCACATGTCTCTCTAGGTGATGATAATGGACTGGTCACCCCCTCTAGGTGTTGATAATGGACTGGTCCACCTCTCCACCCCTCCCCCAGGTGTTGATGATGGACTGGTCCACGTCTCTCTCTAGGTGATGATAATGGACTGGTCCACCTCTCCACCCCTCCCCCAGGTGTTGATGATGGACTAGTCCACCCCCTCTCTAGGTGATGATAATGGACTGGTCCACCCCCTCTTTAGGTGATGGTAATTGACTGGTCCACGTCTCTCTAGGTGATGATAATGGACTGGTCCACCCCTCTCGGTGATGATAATGGACTGGTCCACCACCTCTCTAGGTGTTGATAATGGACTGGTCCACCTCTCCACCCCTCCCCCAGGTGTTGATGATGGACGAGTCCACCCCCGTCTAGGTGATGATAATGGACTGGTCCACGTCTCTCTCTCTAGGTGATGATAATGGACTGGTCCACGTCTCTCTTGGTGATGATAATGGACTGGTCCACCCCTCTCTAGGTGATGATAATGGACTGGTCCACGTCTCTCTAGGTGATGATAATGGATTGGTCCACGTCTCTCTAGGTGATGATAATGGACTGGTCCACGTCTCTCTAGGTGATGATAATGGACTGGTCCACGTCTCTCTAGGTGATGATAATGGACTGGTCCACGTCTCTCTAGGTGATGATAATGGACTGGTCCACCTCTCCACCCCTCCCCCAGGTGTTGATGATGGACGAGTCCACCCCCGTCTAGGTGATGATAATGGACTGGTCCACGTCTCTCTCTCTAGGTGATGATAATGGACTGGTCCACGTCTCTCTAGGTGATGATAATGGACTGGTCCACGTCTCTCTAGGTGATGATAATGGACTGGTCCACGTCTCTCTAGGTGATGATAATGGACTGGTCCACCCCTCTCTAGGTGATTATAATGGACTGGTCCACGTCTCTCTAGGTGATGATAATGAACTGGTCCATGTCTCTCTAGGTGATGATAATGGACTGGTCCACCCCTCTCTAGGTGATGATAATGGACTGGTCCACGTCTCTCTAGGTGATGATAATGGACTGGTCCACGTCTCTCTAGGTGATGATAATTGACTGGTCCACCCCCGTCTAGGTGATGATAATGGACTGGTCCACGTCTCTCTAGGTGATGATAATGGACTGGTCCACGTCTCTCTAGGTGATGATAATGGACTGGTCCACGTCTCTCTAGGTGATGATAATGGACTGGTCCACGTCTCTCTAGGTGATGATAATTGACTGGTCCACCCCCGTCTAGGTGATGATAATGGACTGGTCCACCTCTCCACCCCTCCCCCAGGCGTTGATGATGGACTGGTCCACGTCTCTCTCTCTCTAGGTGATAGTGGACTGGTCCACCTCTCCACCCCTCCCCCAGGTGTTGATGATGGACGAGTCCACCCTCTCTCTAGGTGATGATAATGGAGTGGTCCACGTCTCTCTCTCTAGGTGATGATAATGGACTGGTGCACGTCTCTCTAGGTGATGATAATGGACTGGTCCACCCCCGTCTAGGTGATGATAATGGACTGGTCCACCTCTCCACCCCTCCCCCAGGCGTTGATGATGGATGAGTCCACCCCCCTCTCTAGGTGGTGATAATTGACTGGTCCACCTCGAGGTGATGATAATGGACTGGTCCACGTCTCTCTAGGTGATGATAATGGACTGGTCCACCCCCTCTAGGTGATGATAATGGACTGGTCCACGTCTCGCTAGGTGATGATAATGGACTGGTCCACCCTCTCTAGGTGTTGATAATGGACTGGTCCACGTCTCTCTAGGTGATGATAATGGACTGGTCCACCTCTCCACCCCTCCCCCAGGCGTTGATGATGGACGAGTCCACCCCCTCTCTAGGTGTTGATAATGGACTGGTCCACGTCTCTCTCTCTAGGTGATGATAATGGACTGGTCCACGTCTCTCTAGGTGATGATAATGGACTGGTCCACCCCCGTCTAGGTGATGATAATGGACTGGTCCACCTCTCCACCCCTCCCCCAGGTGTTGATGATGGACTGGTCCACGTCTCTCTCTCTCTAGGTGATGATAATGGACTGGTCCACGTCTCTCTAGGTGATGATAATGGACTGGTCCACATCTCTCTCTAGGTGATAATGGACTGGTCCACCTCTCCACCCCTCCCCCAGGCGTTGATGATGGACGAGTCCACCCTCTCTAGGTGATGATAATGGACTGGTCCACCTCTCCACCCCTCCCCCAGGTGATGATAATGGACTGGTCCACCCCTCCTCTCTAGGTGATGATAATGGACTGGTCCACCCCTCCTCTCTAGGTGATGATAATGGACTGGTCCACGTCTCTCTAGGTGATGATAATGGACTGGTCCACCCCCGTCTAGGTGATGATAATTGACTGGTCCACCCCTGTCTTGGTGATGATAATGGACTGGTCCACCTCTCCACCCCTCCTCCAGGCGTTGATGATGGACTGGTCCACATCTCTCTCTCTAGGTGATGACAATGGACTGGTCCACGTCTCTCTAGGTGATGACAATGGACTGGTCCACGTCTCTCTAGGTGATGATAATGGACTGGTCCACCCCCGTCTAGGTGATGATAATTGTCTGGTCCACCCCTGTCTTGGTGATGATAATGGACTGGTCCACCTCTCCACCCCTCCTCCAGGCGTTGATGATGGACTGGTCCACATCTCTCTCTCTAGGTGATAATAATGGACTGGTCCACGTCTCTCTAGGTGATGACAATGGACTGGTCCACGTCTCTCTAGGTGATGATAATGGACTGGTCCACCCCTTCTAGGTGTTGATAATGGACTGGTCCACCTCTCCACCCCTCCCCCAGGCGTTGATGATGGACGAGTCCACCCCCTCTAGGTGTTGATAATGGACTGGTCCACCTCTCCACCCCTCCCCCAGGCGTTGATGATGGACGAGTCCATCTCCAACGTGCCCATCCTGGTGCTGGGAAACAAAATCGACAGACCTGAGGCAGTCAGCGAGCAGCGATTCAGAGACGAGTTCGGACTCTCTGGACAAACTACGGGGAAGGTGGGTGGGAGGGTGGGTGGGTGAATGGGTGGGAGGGTGGGTGGGTGGGGGGGTGAGTGAGTGGGTGGGTCGGTGGGGGGGTGGGTGGGTGGGTGAGTGGGTGGGTGGGTGAGTGGGTGGGTGAGTGGGTGGGTGGGAGGGTGAGTGAGTGGGTGGGAGGGTGAGTGAGTGAGTGAGTGGGTGGGTGGGTGAGTGGTGGGTGGGTGGGAGAGTGGGTGAGTGGGTGAGTGAGAGGGTGGGTGAGTGGGTGGGTGGGTGAGTGAGTGGGTGAGTGGTGGGTGAGTGGTGGGTGAGTGGGTGAGTGGTGGGTGAGTGGTGGGTGGGTGGGTGAGTGAGTGGGTGAGTGAGTGACTGACTGACTGACTGAGTGACTGAGTGACTGACTGAGTGACTGACTGAGTGACTGACTGACTGAGTGACTGACTGACTGAGTGACTGACTGACTGAGTGACTGACTGACTGAGTGACTGACTGACTGAGTGACTGACTGACTGAGTGACTGACTGAGTGACTGACCGAGTGACTGACCGAGTGACTGACTGAGTGACTGAGTGAGTGACTGACTGTACTTCTGTGACCCCTTCCAGGGTTCCGTGCCAGCGAAGGATCTGAATGCGCGTCCACTTGAGGTGTTTATGTGCTCCGTGCTCAAGCGTCAGGGCTACGGGGAAGGATTCCGCTGGCTATCCCAGTACATCGACTGACGAGTCACTCGCTCAGTCAGTCAGTCACGCAGTCACTCAGTCAGTCACTCAGTTAGTCACTCACTCAGTCAGTCACTCAGTCACTCAGTCACTCACACAGTCAGTCAGTCACTCAGTCACTCAGTCAGTCAGTCACTCACTCACCCACTCACCCACTCAGTCACTCAGTCACTCACTTACCCACTCACCCACTCAGTCTGCCACTCACTCACTGACTCACTGACTCACCTACTCACCCATTAACCCACTCGCTTACCCACTCACCCACTCACTCACTCACTCACCCACTCACTCACTCACCCACTCACTCACCTCCTCCTACAGACATACACAGACATACACACAGAAACAGACAGGCATCCAGACATACACACATATACATACATACAGACACACACACAGACAAACACAGCCACAACAACAACAACATTTAACAATGAGAATTAAAGTCCCAAGGATTTACGTCTCTGTGTGTGTCATGGTGGTGGTGGTGATGGTGGTGGTGATGGTGGTGATGATGATAATGGTGGTGGTGATGATGGTGATGATGGTGATGGTGATGATGATGGTGATGATGATAATGGTGGTGGTGATTGTGATGATGATGGTGATGGTATCGCTGTAGTCGGCCGTGCCATGGGGGGAGGAGCCAATTCCGATTGGCTCCTCCCCCCATGGCGTCTGTGACCACCACAGGGGCTAAACAGGGGCTCTGGACGGGTGCGAGGGGCTGGTAACCCCTCCACCTTCAATTAATTACCACGAAACCACGAGTTAAACTGAAATATGTAACTAATAAGCTTGTGCCGGAGGCCCCGGGGGGGACAGGCGTCTATGACGTCTCCTGGCCAAACCCCAATTGGCGGAGGCAGGAGATTGAATCTCTCTACCCTCGGGGGCTCCTCCAGAAACAACGAAAAGCCACTTCGTGTGGCCACGTGGGAATGTGCGAACGCTCACTGTGGAGGAGAGAGGCTGCCCACTCCTCCGTCGGGAGCTGGACCGGTACCGCCTGGATCTCTGCGGCATTCAGGAGGTCCGGTGGACCGGCTCTGGCTCCTGCCACCGTGAGGGGTGGACGGTCCTCTACTCGGGGCAGCAGACTGCCAAACAACAGGGTGTGGGTCTTTTGAACAAAAGAATGAAGGGGGCGTGGGAGCGTGGCGGTGAGGTGTGGGAAGCTGTAAGCCCCGGGCTACTTTGGGCTCGCCTTCCCATCAACCGGAGGCGAGGAGTGGTGGTCGTGGTTACTTATGCCCCCACCGAAGATGAACATCCGTGGAGGGATGCAGGCAAAGCCGATGAGTCAGATGCCTTCTATGACCTGTCACAGGTGCTGGCTAAAGTGGCCCCTCGGGATAGTCATCTTGTTGGGTGACTTCAATGCCCGAGTTGGCCATGATGCTGGCACCTGGTCTGCAGTGATTGGAGGGCATGGGCCAGATCAGCTCAATAACAACGGCAGGAGGCTGCAAGATTTTTGTGCAGCCCATGGGCTTGTAATTACCAACACGCTGTTCTGGCATCGGCACATCCACACAACATCATGGATGCAGGCCGGGTCCAAGCAAGAACATCTGGACTACATAGTAACAGACCAGCGAATGCGAGCCCATGTTCTTGACACCAGGACCTACCGTGGAGCTGATCAGCCCACTGACCATCGACTAGTCATCTGTAAGATGCGCCTGCCATTCTTCCACTCCGGTGGTGGGTGTACACCCAGGACCCCATTCCAACCTAAAGTGGCCTGGTCTCAGTTATCTGATGAAAGTTGCAAGCGAGAATTTCATCGTCGCTTGCGGCTGGGATTGGCATCGTCCCCCACTCCTCCTGATGTCGAGGGTAAATGGGCGAGGTTTAGGACTGTGACTCATGCAGCTGCAATGGCTGCTTTGGGTACGCGGTACAGACCTCCCCAGAGACCCTGGCTGACAGAGGAGGTGTTCAGGATGGTTGAGAAAATGTGACAGGCCCACTGTCATCGGCTACAGAATCTCACGTCAGAGAATGAGGAGGCTTACCGCAGCCTTCGCTCGGAGGTTCGGAGAGCCGTGAGGCGCTGCAAGGATGGCTGGTGGTCGTGGGTTGCTGAGGAGATGGAGTCTGCCTCAGTGGCCCGTGATCACAAATCTCTATTTAACTCCATCAAAAAGTTACCTGCAGTGCCACACCTATTAACATCATTAGGGGAAAGAATGGTGATCCAATCTCTGACCCCCAGGAACAAGTTTGAAGATTTGCTGAGCATTTCTGTGAGGTCCTGAGGGAGGGCAAATCCCTCAGCCTGGAAAACATCATGGCACAAAGTGGGGATGACCCTGCTGAGGCTGCGGTGCCTCAAATATTGGAAGAAGTCACCCCCTGTGAGTGGCTGGCTGAGGTGCCATCTGTTGAGGAAGTACTGAAGGCGACCCAGAGCCTGAGACCAGGAAAGGCACCGGGCAGAGATAATCTCCCAAGCGAAATGCTGAGGGAGGGTGGCGTTTGTGCACAGACTGCCCTATATGACATCATAACAACAGTCTGGACCACTGGACGGGTTCCGCAGGATTGGAAGGATGCCCTGGTGGTCCCCCTCTTTAAGAAGGGGGACCGCACAGACTGTAACAACTACAGGGGCATCTCACTCCTCAGTGTGCCAGGAAAGGTCCTGGCAAGGATTATTCAACATCGCCTTGCCAGGCACGCTGAGGAGAGGCTTGCGGAGCCCCAATGCGGTTTCAGGAAAGGGCGGTCCTGCACAGATGCTATATTTTCTGTCCGTCTGCTACAGCAGAGGTGTAGGGAATTCCAGCAAGACCTACATCTCTGCTTTATATGCCTGGTCAAGGCCTGTGATACCATCAGTAGGCCTGGGCTCTGGGTTGTTCTTCGTGCTTTTGGAGTACCTGACCCTCTGCTCACGATCATTAAAGACCTTCATGATGGTGAGCGGGCCCGGGTAAAACTACGTGGCCGCGAGTCAGAGCCATTCCCTGTACACCTTGGGGTGCGACAGGGATGTCCTCTGGCTCCCACATTATTTAACATCTATTTTGACCACGTAGTTCGTGAAGCCTTAAATAGCTGTACCCGGGGAATCTCCGTATGGTACAGATATAATGGGAGGCTGATCGATGCCCGGGTGCGGTCAAGAGATGGCTCCCTATTGCTCAACCACGTTATGTATGCCGATGATTTAGTAATAGCTGCTCATTCAGAGGAGGAGTTGGAGACGCTGCTGTTGAGACTGGAGCGTGCAACTAAGAGGTGGGGCCTTACCATCAGCCCCACCAAAACTAAGCACCTGCCTGGGTATTTTGTACCATCGGACACTCCACCCCCACATCTCCCAATCGGTGATGGGGCAGTTGTGGAGAGAGTGGAGAGTTTCCCATACCTGGGCAGTGTGCTTATGGCCGGCTCCAGTTTAACAGCAGAGGTCTCACTCCGAATCAGTCGAGCGGAAATATCTTTTCATCGGTTGCGTAACGCTGTGTGGAAGCTACCTGGTCTGTCGCTCCGCACTAAGCTTCAGGTCTTCTCGGCCACGGTCATTCCGTCCCTTCTCTACGCTAGCGAAACGTGGACCCCCCAAATGGAACATCTTCGCCGGTTAGAAACATTTAGGCTGGCCTGCCTACGATCCATCCTGGGTTTAACCAGGCTGGATTGTGTGAGGAGCTCACAAATCTTTGAAAGATCTGGGCAAGGTCCCATCGGTGAGCTCCTCCGGCAGGCAAGCCTGCATTGGCTGGGTCATGTAGCCCGCATGCCCAGCCACCGCATGCCGAAACAGCTTTTGTTCGGCCGGATAGAGGGGGCTAAACGAGCGCGGCACGGGCTAGAGAAGAGATGGAGTGATGTGGTACAGGAGGACGTGGAGCTGAGTGGATTTGCGGATGACTGGTACCAGTGGTGTCAAGATCGGCCTCTGTGGAGGAGGCTCGTGAAGGATGCTGCTACTGGGCAGTTGGAGGCAGTCGCCCTCCAACAACAACGGAGGGCGGAGGAGCGACGCTCAAAACAACGAGCGGAGCGCCGGGTGGCTAAAGCACAGCAGGTTGACACAGTAGGGGGCACAGGTGGTGCATCAGCCAGTCATCTCAGTCATCTCAGTCAGTCGACCCGTGGCACCTGCTGGGTCTGCCCTGTTGACCTCCTGCCAGCGGGCGTTCGACACTTCACGTGGCCACTTAGTGGTGAATGGCGGTTGTTGTTGTTGTTGTGTGTGTGTGTCTGTGTGTGTCTGTGTGTGTGTGTGTAGCGGTTAGCGCTACGCTGCGCTATGAACCTGGCGACCCGGGTTCGATTCCCGCTCACGGCCACCAACACCGGTGACGATTATCTGAACCGGTCCCGGGCCTCCCCTAGGTCGACTCAGCCTCAAATGAGTACCTGGTGTAGCGGTGTGCAGTAAACATTGCCACTGGGGAGATAAAGGCGTTCGGGCGTGGTGCTGGCCACCCACCCCCTCGTGTACCGTTCCGGCCTTCATAGGTGCTCGCTAACAGCACTTGCCCCTACAGTCTGTTAAGGCTATATGGGGGATCTTTGTCTTTGTTTGTGTGTCTGTGAACCATCGTCGCGCGGCGCTTTCCGTGGTCGTCTGGAACGTTTCTTCCATCCGATATCAGGAAGCCAATGGGAGCCATGCACTTTAAGATGGTCATCGTCTAGATTGACAAACTCATTTCGCTCGAACTGATTCTTGTGTTTAGTTTGTCGTCCTTCCCCGGCACCTCCAATTAGCGCGGTTGGCTACGTACGGTGCGAAAGAAGTTCAACATGCACACATACTGCACCATAGACTCAACACTGCTACCCATAGACTCAACACTGCCCATAGACTCAACATTGCCACCCATAGACTCAGCACTGCCCATTGACTCAACACTGCACCATAGACTCAACACTGCCCATAGACTCAACACTGCTCCATAGACTCATCACTACACCATAGACTCAACACTACCCATAGACTCAACACTGCCCATAGACTCAACACTGCACCATAGTCTCAACATTGCCCATACACTCAACACTGCACCATAGACTCAACACTGCATCATAGACTCAACACTACCCATAGACTCAACACTGCACCATAGACTCAACACTGCCCATAGACTCAACACTGCACCAT